CAATGCTCATAAAATGCGATAACGATTTTGTTGAAAAACGCACTATGAGTCATAAGTTATTATATAATTAGCGATATTTTAGAAAAACTAACCGTTTGAAATCAATCATGCTTTTGATGATATGTTGGGGGGAAAATTGAATTGGCTATCATGTCAATCCATTGTTTTATGCGAATTATTTAGAATAAAAGCGCTGGATTTAATTTTTTACAAATAATTTACATTTTTGTAAAATTTTCAATATTATTGTTTTCTCCTCGTCCTACACTTTTCGAATATAGTTTTTGGCCACGCCCCTAACTATTTAACCAATCACGTGTTAGATTTACATTTTAAACCTACGATTTTTTACTATAATGTCAGATAACCTTTATCTACGTCGCCGGCGGCAACCGCTGCGCCAGCGACAGCATCGCCGAAAAAGGGCAAGACTGCGGCTGTTAAAAAACCGCGAGTGAAGCCGTCCCATCCTCCTACATCTAAATGGTAAACAACGCTATTAAAAGTCTGAAAGAACGCGGCGGATCGTCGCTGCAGGCGATTAAGAAATATATGTCGGCCAATTATAAAATCGACGCCGAGAAAATGTCAACGTTCATTAAAAGTATTTAAAGTCAGCTGTTCAAGCGGGCACACTGATTCAAAACAAAAGGCAAAGGTGCTTCGGTGTTCGTTCAAACTTGCCGCGAACGCTAAACAGAGCGGCGGCGAAAGCGGTGTTTCGGCTGGAAAAGCCAGGACCGCTAAGACGCCAGCGGCAAAAGCAAAATCGAAGACAGCAAAGTCGAAGGGCGCCGCCAAACCTGCTTCGTCCCCTAAAAAGAAGTCTGCATCCGCAGCGGGCACATTAAAAAAGTCGTCGGCGAAACCTAAGACGACAGTCGATAAGAAGAAGACCATTCAGGGTAAGTCGACGAAAGCCTCATCGGCCAAGGCAACGAGCAAAACGAAGAAAACCGTCAAGACCGCAGCCGCAAAGAAACCTAAATCGCCAAAGAAGACATCAAAAGTAGCCAAACCTTTGAAAAAAGCGTCACCGAAAAAGAAGTGAAAACATTTCATTATCTTTTTACACAACAGCAAACGAAAATGTTTGCACAAAGTCCTTTTCAGGACTAACAATAAATTTTTATCAAAGAACATTATTATTTTACTTATATATATCTTATCATCTTATATTATAGCCTTTTCGTGGACTTAGGAAAAAATTTAATAAAATATTTGTAACAGGAGCGCAGCAACGCTCGCTGTGTTCCTCGCCGTGTTGTGTCATTGACGAAATTTAAAAGTCAAAGTCTTTTCAATTTTCAATTTCGTCTTTGGTAGGGAGTTGTTCAATATCAATCGCTGAATTTTATTTATTTATTTATTATTTTTTTTTAAATAATTTTATATGAATAAATTATCTTAATCAAATGAAATATAATCAATAATTTATTAATAAAAGTTTTATATATCACTTTAAATAAATCAACTATACATAGAACGGCAACTCTCATAATAATTAAATTCATAATTTTTTCTAATTTTTTTTTATATAAATAATAAGTAAATAGAAATTAATTAATGAAATAAAATATAATCATTAATAATTTATGAAGTTTCAATCTTTTTTTCATATCGTATTCGAAAAAGAAAATTTATATAACTTTAAATAACTATATATGAAATTAAAAAATATACAATCAAAAAAAAAATATTTATATATAAATATATATAATATAATATATATAATATAAATTTCTATCATCAGAACGGCAACTCGCCCATATTAATTAAATTTAGAATTTTTTAAAGAAGCTTTCAGAAATTCATGACGAATTTTACAAATTCAACTATAATATTTTTTAAACTTAACACAACAACACACTATTCAACAAGTCAAATCATGTGTGTTGTCAATAATTTCAATTAAAAAAAAAAATCAATGAAAATTTCTAACGTATCGATGGAATAATTCTGCAAAATAAAATAATTTGAAAAATAATAAAAGTTCTTTTAATTGATCATTTTGGTGGTCCTGAAAAGGACCGATTTGTTTATAGGACGACAGGCGTCTAAGCGCGTTCTCCTCGAATACGCCGAGCTAGTTGAATATCCTTGGGCATGATGGTTACGCGCTTGGCGTGGATCGCGCACAAGTTTGTATCTTCGAACAGGCCAACCAAATAGGCCTCGCTAGCTTCCTGCAATGCCATGACGGCGGAGCTCTGAAAACGCAGATCGGTCTTGAAGTCCTGAGCGATCTCGCGCACTAGACGTTGGAACGGCAACTTTCGTATGAGAAGCTCGGTGCTCTTCTGGTAACGACGGATCTCACGCAGAGCTACGGTGCCAGGCCGATAACGATGCGGCTTCTTCACACCGCCGGTCGCCGGCGCGCTCTTGCGAGCCGCTTTCGTTGCAAGCTGCTTACGGGGCGCCTTGCCACCGGTGGACTTGCGAGCTGTCTGCTTCGTACGGGCCATTATAACTCCTAGATTTCGTTTCGAGAACCTTCTCGTTTGACGATCGTTTTGATACTGACGCGTCCGGCTCGAATATTATGATCAAAATACATTACGAATGTCCGATGCTGTGCTCGGCTGTCATTGGTCGGCGCCGAATGCTCGCATAGCTATGATGGGCGTGGCCTAGCGAGCTCAAACTTTTCAATAATTTCGCTCGTCGGAATTCAGTCGTTATTCAGACTTCGAGCTGTTAACATCAATTTGTAAATTTATCCCGACTGCGATATATTGAAAAATGACCGGCCGTGGCAAAGGTGGTAAGGGACTCGGAAAGGGTGGCGCTAAGCGACACAGGAAAGTTCTTCGCGATAATATCCAAGGTATTACAAAGCCGGCTATACGTCGTCTTGCTCGCCGTGGCGGCGTCAAGCGTATCTCGGGTCTAATCTACGAAGAGACCCGCGGTGTTCTGAAAGTGTTTCTCGAGAACGTTATCCGCGATGCAGTCACATACACCGAGCACGCCAAGAGGAAGACCGTAACCGCTATGGATGTCGTATATGCGCTCAAACGTCAGGGTCGTACACTGTACGGTTTCGGCGGTTAAATTGATCAACGGACGCAGTCATTTCTTATAAATACAAAACAAAAAAGAGCCCTTTTAAGGGCTGTCAAATATAATTAAAAGAACAAGTAATATATTTTACAATTTACGTACAGGCTTTATTTGATTTTATATGAAATTTGTTTATTTTCTTGCAGAATAACTTGCTTTGGTAATATTATTGATAATATTATCAAATTGGAAAGCCCTTCGAATATGTTTTAAAGAAAGTATTAATTAATATATATTTTACTATTTTTTCGTATTGACTTTTTATATGCAATTGATTTCTTTTCTTACATGGGGGGGCTTCAATTAATAGAAAATAGAAGCCCTTTTAGTATTAGTATACTTTACAGTTAAGGGCTCTGAATTGAAGGAGCTCAATTAAATGAATGAATTTATTAAATTTTGCATATTATTTAAATTTATATAACATGTAATAATATATTTTATATATTTAAATAATAAAATTTTTAAAATATTTACGACAATAATTTTATTTTTACGAAAATATTTAAATTGCGATTTTTTTTTAATATAAATTTATTTTATAATAAATTAAAATAAACTTAAACTTATTAACTAAATTTGAAAAACTGAAGTTTTAAATTGAATTGAATATTCAATCATTAATTTTTATCATATTGAAAATATATAGAAATTGAACATTATTTATAATATAAATTAATAATAACGATCTCTAATAGAAATCTGATCAAAATTTATTGAAAATCCTAATAAAATATCATTAGTGTCAGGTTATTTTATTTTATCTATAAAACCAATGTAAAAATTATAAAGTTCTTTTGTAAAATATTTGTGGGCCCTGAGAAGGGCCTTTGTTATTGTCGACAGAACATATAAGTGGCATCACAAAATCTTCATCATTTTATTTCGAGCTGGTGTACTTGGTTACGGCCTTAGTACCTTCGCTGACGGCGTGTTTGGCCAACTCGCCTGGTAGCAATAGCCGGACTGCTGTCTGAATTTCCCGACTAGTGATTGTAGAGCGTTTGTTGTAGTGAGCCAAACGCGATGCCTCGGCCGCTATACGCTCGAAGATATCATTCACAAAGCTGTTCATGATGCTCATCGCCTTGCTCGAAATGCCCGTGTCAGGATGGACTTGTTTCAAGACTTTGTAAATATAAATGGCATAGCTCTCCTTGCGCTTACGTTTCTTCTTCTTGTCGCCCTTTGAAATATTTTTCTGGGCTTTGCCTGCTTTCTTAGCCGCTTTACCGCTGGTTTTCGGTGGCATGTCTGATGTTTACTAGTACACTGACTGATACGAAATGAGTCGTGCCATGATTCTTCTCTCCCTCTTCCTCTTGACCCTCGTGCTTCAGTTTCGTGTAAGGTAAACATATCGTGCTGTGAGTTATTATTTATTGGTGGTATTCCTTGACAATATGTATTACGTTTGTAATACGTGGTATTACTGTCGTCTATTATTCATTTAATTAATATATTCCTGGTTCATAAAACCATTTCTAATATTTTCGGTTTGTTCATATTTCTCAAACTTCTGAAGTTTAGAAGTTTGGGAGTAATCTTTTGTCTGTCCAGTAGTTTTTCCTTGTGAATTTGCCTAGGTCTGTAATATTTTGGTTTTTATGATTATTTATTGCCATATAAAACTTCTTCGTGATGGTAGCAATAAACTCTTTGATGTAAGGTATTTTTGCTTCTTCATGAAGTGCTTTATTAGTAATAAATTTATTATTTTGTTGTCTGTTTTTGCCTGTTATCAGTCTAAGGCATTTATTCTGGGTCCTTTGTAGTTTTTGGTAGTTGTATTTACAAGTGTTTGTCCATGCCGGCCCTGCATATGTCAATATAGGTCTTATCATTAGTAGATAGCTGTTTTGCTTGTTTAGGTAGCTGCTGTTGTTGAGAAGACAGTGCAGTCTATTTATCGCTGCAGACGCTTGATTATTTCTGTATTTTGTGTGTTCTTTGAACGATAATTTTTTGTCAAAGATAACACCTAAATATTTGATTGTATTAGCCCATGGGATTTTGTCCGCTCCAATTTGTAGGGTTTTCTGTTTGTCAATGGTTTGTTTTTGTTTGTTAGTGAAAAGTATGGCTTCTGTTTTTTGCGTATTCAGTTTTAGTTTCCATGTGTCTAGGTAGTGGTCGATTTGTAATAAGTGTTCTTGTAGTTTCTTTGTTAGAATTTCGATTTTAGCACTTGCAGAAAAAATTGCTGTGTCGTCTGCGTATTGCAGGATTTGGGTGTTTTTGTGGGTAGGTATATCATGCATGTATATGTTAAAAAGTAGTGGTGCAAGAATAGATCCTTGTGGTAAGCCTGCTGCAATTGCTTTTTCGTCTGACAATTCGTTTTTGACACACACTCTAAAGGTTCTGTTCTTAAGATAGGACCTTATGATGTTGATTAGATATCTTGGTAGCTCTATTTTTTGCAGCTTGTATAGTAGTCCATTATGCCATACTGTGTCGAAAGCTTTCTGTATATCTAAGCTTACTAAGCCTGTATGTTTCTTCATGTTCATAGCGTGGATGGTTTTTTCTGTAAGTATATTTATGGGATGTTGGGTTGCGTGTCCTGACCTAAATCCATATTGGTGTTTTGGAAGAACGTTTTTCTTCTTTATGTGATATAATATTTGTTTTTGTATTATTTTCTCTGCCAGTTTTCCCATAGTCGGTAGTAAGCTAATAGGTCTGTAATTTTGTGGAAATGTGTCGCTTTTACCTGGTTTTGGAAAAGGAAGTGTTTTGGCTGCTTTCCATTCTACTGGGTAGTGTTCAAGAGATAGCATGGCGTTTATGATTTTTGTGAAATTTATTATGGCTTTACGTGGTAGATTCTTCAGTACAATATTTTGTATGTTATCGAGTCCAGGAGCTTTGTAGTTTTTTAATTTTTTGATGTTTTGTTTGACATCTAACGGGGTCACTTTGCAGATAGGTGTATTCAGTTGTTTATTGTGTTGTACGGTTTTGTTCACTTTGTGGTCGTGTTGTATGTTCCCAAGATCAAGGTTTTGCCGGTGAGTTTCTTCCAGTACTTCGGCTATAGCATCTGCTTTGTCTTTGTTTGAGTAGACTACCCCATTGTGTCTTGAATGTCAGTCTATCATCAACCTCGGTACGGTCAACATCTAATTCTTGCTCCTTAGTTTTTATTTATTTTTACCTGAATTTACCGTTAAATCCCGTTATTTTTGTAGTTTTTTATACCTGCGCGAGTGTTTTTCCAGTACCTTCAGTTTATTAAATTTGTGATTTGTGAATTTATTTAAATATTTTATATCGTTTTATCTTTTATTCTAATTTTTTAAATAGTTAATTACTCAATTTATTTAGTTTCATTTTCTAGTTTACTTATTTCTTATTAAATATTTCAAAATGGTTGTTACACGGAGCCAAGTGCCAAGTCAGTCCTTAGATACAAGTGTCTCAGTTTTGGACGACTCAATCGATTTAAATTCTACTGTTCTTTGCTCAAATTGTTTTCATTTACAATCTCTTGTTCACGAAAGAGATATTAAAATTGATAGGCTGACAAAAGAATTGTCTGAGGTTAAGTTAGGGAACCAGTATCTTCAGCTCAGGATTACTGGTGTTAGTTCCGTATTAGGGAATATGAGCTCTTCAGGTTCAGTTTTCAAAGAGTCGTCCACATTTTCACGTTCTTTTTCTAAACTCTGTAATGAGTTATCTAGTTTAATAAAAAAACGGAACATAGATTTGAAACAGCTTAGGGATGAATTTACCAAATTAGAGTCCAAAGCAAAGCACCTCGAGCAACGCGTTAGTAATGATTTGTTAAGTTCTATTAAGAACAGTAAAATTTTGTTCCTTTCCGATAGCCACGGCAGAGGGTGGTCAGAATGCTTGAGAGAATTGCTTGGACGAAAATTTGATATATTCAACATAGTCAAGCCGGGGGCCGGATTTGCTGACGTGGTTGGGGATATCGAGAGTCTGGTGTCTGACTTGGTCCGGGTGACCATGTTGTTGTTCTGGCTGGAACGAATGACGTTATTTGATTGTTTATATGCATTCTAAATAATTTCCAATGAGCGCGTTTGTAATCAAGAAAGTTTTTATCGTTGCTATTGTTAACTGCTAAATTATCAATAGCTACAGATGTTATTACTGGATTATGGTCCGAGCTAGAGGCAGTGAGAGTGTGTGGAGTTGCAACATGGAACAAATTTCGAGTGATTGCAAGGTCGATAGTGCTTGGGGACCAGTTGCAATTATCTGGATAATAGGTATGAGATAGAGGATAATGCAATTGAACTGTATCTATGTTGTCTAGTAGGTATTCATGTAAAACTAGGCCATTATAGTTATTGTTAGTACAGTTCCAGAGTGGATGTCTAGAGTTAAAATCGCCTGCCATAAAAACTTTAGGAAAAAGGTTGAGCAAAGCGTCTAAGTCATTGGTATCGAGTTTATGGCCAGGAATATAACTGGAAATAAAAGCTATTTGTCCCAAATTAGATTCTATTGAAATAATAGTTGCTTCTATATTATTAAGAACAGGGGTAGGAATATGGGTATGTGGGATGTTATTTTTGATAAAAATAGCGGTTCCACGACCTTTGATGTCATCTTTATCGTTTCTGTAGATTTTGTAACCATAAATAGAAAAATTTATATGTGACTTTAAAAACGTTTCGGAAACCAATGCTATGTGTATGTTGTTATGAGTAAGTAATAGTTTAAATTCAGAAGCTTTTGCCTTAATGCTGCGTGCATTCCAGTAAAGTATATTTAATTCGTTAATTTTTAAAATCATTTCCCAAAGATAAAATGATTAATTAATATATTATCATATTCATTTTCATTTGCTGAATTTAAAGTTTGGGCTAATTTTAAAATTTTTTCAAGAGATGATTTTATTGCCGGTTTTGCAAAAACCTCTTGAATGAATTTAAACGATGTAAACATACCTGATAAATTAAAATTATTGGCCTGCGGTTGTGTACCTGTTTCTTGATCCAGAGCGGCTTGTTGTTGAGGGTGCGGCGATGGAACTTGATTCTGAGGTAAGGGTAGGGTATTTGTCATTCGCTCAGGTAGCGCTGGAAACTCTCTCTGTTGTAGCACTGAATTGAACTTTCTAGTTAACGGTAGAGGAGCAGGTGCCGGGATATAGACATTTTGTCTGGCCTTGATTTTTAGTTGTTCTCTTCTAGCTTTAATTTCCAGTAGTTTCGGGCATGACTTGAAATTTGCAGGGTGGTTACCTAGACAGTTGATGCACTGAGCTGGTTCCGCTTTGGTTTTGGGGCAGCTGAACGCCTCGTGGGGTTTTGTACATTTCACACATCTATTCTGAAGGTTGCAATAAGAAGAAGTGTGACCAAAATTTTGGCAGTTGTAGCACTGTATAATGTTTCCATTCGATCTATATTTGTCCCATTTGACTGCGTACCCTGCTAGGTGTTTTTTGTTTCTAATACGAGCCATATCCTGTTCATGATGAAAGAAAAGCACGAAAACTGGTAGTTTTATTTTTTCACCTAACACGTTGGTTTTAGTCATTTGAATAACTTTTTCAATTCTGCAGAATTCTATGATCAGTTCTTGATAAATTTCATCACTTGTCACGTGAGGTGGAATTCCTGCAGCTACAATTTTTATAAGCTCAGATCCCTTCTGTGGAAAAGTGTAAAATTTCTTGTTGTCTTGTTTCAATCTTTCGTACACATTTTTGTAATCCACTTCGCTGTATGTGGTGATTCTGTAGTGCAGTTTTCCTTTGTATTGCACATGCAATTTGTTCTTACACTGTTTTGCCAGAAGTTTAACATAATCATTTTTACCCTAAATCATCTAAAACTACAATTGCAGGCATTGTTTTTTGGGTAAATTGATCTTCTTTTTGGGGTTTTTTATTTGAGGTTTCCGGTTCGGTTGGGTTAGGTTTTTTGCGTTTTGTAGTCACAAATTCATCTTCCATTTCGTTTTTATTATTTTCTTCATCTTGTTCAGCACAAGCTAATGGCGCAAATTTGTTTATATGCACAAATCGCCCCGCTGGCAGTACCTCGTTCAGTTGCTGTGCGACACTAATGTTAGAGTCCTGATCCGCCGCCATAATGGCAACGTTATAGTCTAACGTCGACCATAAATTGTATAGAACTAATAATTATTATAAATAGTTTTTAATACTTCACCACGTAACATATTCACAAAAATTTCACTTTAAATACGAATCACTTCACATTTAAATTCACAGGGATTATAGATTTTCTGGGCGATGCGAACACTACGGCTGCTCGGACTCGAAATGTAATTTTTTACAAATAATTTACATTTTTGTAAAATTTTCAAATATTATTGTTTTCTCCTCGGTCCTACACTTTTCGAATATAGTTTTTGGCCACGCCTCTAACATATTTAACCAATCACGTGTTAGATTTACATTTTAACCTACGATTTTTTACTATAATGTCAGATAACGCTTTATCTACGTCGCCGGCGGCAACCGCTGCGCCAGCGACAGCATCGCCGAAAAAGGGCAAGACTGCGGCTGTTAAAAAACCGCGAGTGAAGCCGTCCCATCCTCCTACATCTGAAATGGTAAACAACGCTATTAAAAGTCTGAAAGAACGCGGCGGATCGTCGCTGCAGGCGATTAAGAAATATATGTCGGCCAATTATAAAATCGACGCCGAGAAAATGTCAACGTTCATTAAAAAGTATTTAAAGTCAGCTGTTCAAGCGGGCACACTGATTCAAACAAAAGGCAAAGGTGCTTCGGGTTCGTTCAAACTTGCCGCGAACGCTAAACAGAGCGGCGGCGAAAGCGGTGTTTCGGCTGGAAAAGCCAGGACCGCTAAGACGCCAGCGGCAAAAGCAAAATCGAAGACAGCAAAGTCGAAGGGCGCCGCCAAACCTGCTTCGTCCCCTAAAAAGAAGTCTGCATCCGCAGCGGGCACATTAAAAAAGTCGTCGGCGAAACCTAAGACGACAGTCGATAAGAAGAAGACCATTCAGGGTAAGTCGACGAAAGCCTCATCGGCCAAGGCAACGAGCAAAACGAAGAAAACCGTCAAGACCGCAGCCGCAAAGAAACCTAAATCGCCAAAGAAGACATCAAAAGTAGCCAAACCTTTGAAAAAAGCGTCACCGAAAAAGAAGTGAAAACATTTCATTATCTTTTTACACAACAGCAAACGAAAATGTTTGCACAAAGTCCTTTTCAGGACTAACAATAAATTTTTATCAAAGAACATTATTATTTTACTTATATATATCTTATCATCTTATATTATAGCCTTTTCGTGGACTTCGGAAAAAATTTTAATAAAATATTTGTAACAGGAGCGCAGCAACGCTCGCTGTGTTCCTCGCCGTGTTGTGTCATTGACGAAATTTAAAAGTCAAAGTCTTTTCAATTTTCAATTTCGTCTTTGGTAGGGAGTTGTTCAATATCAATCGCTGAATTTTATTTATTTATTTATTATTTTTTTTTAAATAATTTTATATGAATAAATTATCTTAATCAAATGAAATATAATCAATAATTTATTAATAAAAGTTTTATATATCACTTTAAATAAATCAACTATACATAGAACGGCAACTCTCATAATAATTAAATTCATAATTTTTTCTAATTTTTTTTTATATAAATAATAAGTAAATGGAAATTAATTAATGAAATAAAATATAATCATTAATAATTTATGAAGTTTCAATCTTTTTTTCATATCGTATTCGAAAAAGAAAATTTATATAACTTTAAATAACTATATATGAAATTAAAAAATATACAATCAAAAAAAAAATATTTATATATAAATATATATAATATATATAATATAAATTTCTATCATCAGAACGGCAACTCGCCCATATTAATTAAATTTAGAATTTTTTAAAGAAGCTTTCAGAAATTCATGACGAATTTTACAAATTCAACTATAATATTTTTTAAACTTAACACAACAACACACTATTCAACAAGTCAAATCATGTGTGTTGTCAATAATTTCAATTAAAAAAAAAATCAATAAAAATTTCTAACGTATCGATGGAATAATTCTGCAAAATAAAATAATTTGAAAAATAATAAAAGTTCTTTTAATTGATCATTTTGGTGGTCCTGAAAAGGACCGATTTGTTTTATAGGACGACAGGCGTCTAAGCGCGTTCTCCTCGAATACGCCGAGCTAGTTGAATATCCTTGGGCATGATGGTTACGCGCTTGGCGTGGATCGCGCACAAGTTTGTATCTTCGAACAGGCCAACCAAATAGGCCTCGCTAGCTTCCTGCAATGCCATGACGGCGGAGCTCTGAAAACGCAGATCGGTCTTGAAGTCCTGAGCGATCTCGCGCACTAGACGTTGGAACGGCAACTTTCGTATGAGAAGCTCGGTGCTCTTCTGGTAACGACGGATCTCACGCAGAGCTACGGTGCCAGGCCGATAACGATGCGGCTTCTTCACACCGCCGGTCGCCGGCGCGCTCTTGCGAGCCGCTTTCGTTGCAAGCTGCTTACGGGGCGCCTTGCCACCGGTGGACTTGCGAGCTGTCTGCTTCGTACGGGCCATTATAACTCCTAGATTTCGTTTCGAGAACCTTCTCGTTTGACGATCGTTTTGATACTGACGCGTCCGGCTCGAATATTATGATCAAAATACATTACGAATGTCCGATGCTGTGCTCGGCTGTCATTGGTCGGCGCCGAATGCTCGCATAGCTATGATGGGCGTGGCCTAGCGAGCTCAAACTTTTCAATAATTTCGCTCGTCGGAATTCAGTCGTTATTCAGACTTCGAGCTGTTAACATCAATTTGTAAATTTATCCCGACTGCGATATATTGAAAAATGACCGGCCGTGGCAAAGGTGGTAAGGGACTCGGAAAGGGTGGCGCTAAGCGACACAGGAAAGTTCTTCGCGATAATATCCAAGGTATTACAAAGCCGGCTATACGTCGTCTTGCTCGCCGTGGCGGCGTCAAGCGTATCTCGGGTCTAATCTACGAAGAGACCCGCGGTGTTCTGAAAGTGTTTCTCGAGAACGTTATCCGCGATGCAGTCACATACACCGAGCACGCCAAGAGGAAGACCGTAACCGCTATGGATGTCGTATATGCGCTCAAACGTCAGGGTCGTACACTGTACGGTTTCGGCGGTTAAATTGATCAACGGACGCAGTCATTTCTTATAAATACAAAACAAAAAAGAGCCCTTTTAAGGGCTGTCAAATATAATTAAAAGAACAAGTAATATATTTTACAATTTACGTACAGGCTTTATTTGATTTTATATGAAATTTGTTTATTTTCTTGCAGAATAACTTGCTTTGGTAATATTATTGATAATATTATCAAATTGGAAAGCCCTTCGAATATGTTTTAAAGAAAGTATTAATTAATATATATTTTACTATTTTTTCGTATTGACTTTTTATATGCAATTGATTTCTTTTCTTACATGGGGGGGCTTCAATTAATAGAAAATAGAAGCCCTTTTAGTATTAGTATACTTTACAGTTAAGGGCTTCGAAAAGGGCTCTGAATTGAAGGAGCTCAATTAAATGAATGAATTTATTAAATTTTGCATATTATTTAAATTTATATAATATGTAATAATATATTTTATATATTTAAATAATAAAATTTTTAAAATATTTACGACAATAATTTTATTTTTACGAAAATATTTAAATTGCGATTTTTTTTAATATAAATTTATTTTATAATAAATTAAAATAAACTTAAACTTATTAACTAAATTTGAAAAACTAAAGTTTTAAATTGAATTGAATATTCAATCATTAATTTTTATCATATTGAAAATATATAGAAATTGAACATTATTTATAATATAAATTAATAATAACGATCTCTAATAGAAATCTGATCAAAATTTATTGAAAATCCTAATAAAATATCATTAGTGTCAGGTTATTTTATTTTATCTATAAAACCAATGTAAAAATTATAAAGTTCTTTTGTAAAATATTTGTGGGCCCTGAGAAGGGCCTTTGTTATTGTCGACAGAACATATAAGTGGCATCACAAAATCTTCATCATTTTATTTCGAGCTGGTGTACTTGGTTACGGCCTTAGTACCTTCGCTGACGGCGTGTTTGGCCAACTCGCCTGGTAGCAATAGCCGGACTGCTGTCTGAATTTCCCGACTAGTGATTGTAGAGCGTTTGTTGTAGTGAGCCAAACGCGATGCCTCGGCCGCTATACGCTCGAAGATATCATTCACAAAGCTGTTCATGATGCTCATCGCCTTGCTCGAAATGCCCGTGTCAGGATGGACTTGTTTCAAGACTTTGTAAATATAAATGGCATAGCTCTCCTTGCGCTTACGTTTCTTCTTCTTGTCGCCCTTTGAAATATTTTTCTGGGCTTTGCCTGCTTTCTTAGCCGCTTTACCGCTGGTTTTCGGTGGCATGTCTGATGTTTACTAGTACACTGACTGATACGAAATGAGTCGTGCCGACGCAATTCAATTTTTTTTTCAATTTCAAAAGGTTTTTATTGTTCTATTTGCTTACAATTTGTACATGTTATGTTATAATTTTGAGCATATTCCTAATATTAAATTATCTATAATGCATATCTTAAAATATTCTAGGTATTTCATTTGTTATTAATAACATTTTAAGGACAATCTTGTTGCTGGAAAAAAAATTAAAACCAACAGATTCATAATTGTATTTTCACAGTATAACTTAACCTAACTAACTATAAATAAATAACAGAGAATAAATACTATTTACATAATGATTACAAATATATGATATATACAAAGATTAAAAATTTAGCATAAGTTGTTAAAAGTTTGGTAATTTATATTTGTTAAGATAGCTTGAAGTCGCCGAGTACTGTCCTAGTTTTTGAATGGTTTTGTTTGGGTGGTGTGTGCAATTCTCGTAGAATTTAGCCCATATCTTGTCCGTGTATGGCTTCATCATGGGTATGTTAGCAGCTTCATGCAGAATCGTCGTACTTATATATCTCAGATTCTCGTTTCTGTTGATGTTTGTTATTGTTCTTAGATATTTGTTTTGTATACGCTGAATTTTCTTATGGTGTTTTTCAGCTATGTTCTTCCAGACCGGGCATCCATAGGTTATTATTGGTCGTACACAGGCCAGATATAATTTCCTTTTATTCTCGATATTGAGGTTACTATTCCTGCACATCAAGGGGTACAGAACTTGCATCATTTGATTGGCGCTGTTTAGTCGGTTTTCTATATGTTCCGCAAATGTGAGTTTTTTATCTAGAGTTATACCCAGATATTTAGCTGAAGTGACCCATTTAATATCTTGTCCGTACATTTTTAGGTTTGTGGTTGGGGCTTTGTTTCGCAGTCTTGTAAAATTATTGCTTCCGTTTTGTCCGCGTTTATTTTAATTTTCCAGTCGTTGTAGTACTTTTCTAGCTTGCGAATATGGTCTTGAAGAGTTTCTTGTACAATTTTTGTATCCGGTGCGGTTGCTATAATGGCGACGTCGTCTGCGTAGATTAGCATTTTTGTGTAGGTTGATTTAGGTATATCATGTGTGTAGAGAATAAATAAGAGCGGGCCAATAATTGACCCTTGAGGCAAGCCCGCTGATGTGGATTTTTTGGTTGAGTTGGTTCTATCTACAGTAACGTAGTATTTTCGATGTTTGAGATAGCATGTAATCAGTCGAATCAGGTATCCTGGAAATTTGAGTGAAATCATTTTTCCAATTAGTCCATTATGCCATACAGTGTCAAATGCTTTTTCTATGTCTAGCAGTACGACTCCTGTTTGCATTTTAAGGTTAAATCCGTGTGTGATGGTCTCGGCCAAGATGTTTATTGCGTGCTGGGTTGAGTGTTGAGCTCTGAATCCGTATTGTTCAGGGGGTAGTAAACTATTCTCTTCTATGTGCTTTATTAGTCTGTTATATATGACTCTTTCGGTGATTTTGCTAAGGTTACTCAGCAGACTGATAGGCCGATAATTTTGCGGAAATATTGGATCTTTACCTTTCTTTGGGAAAGGAACAATGCGTGCAGTTTTCCAAGATCGTGGAAAGCAGCCTGTTGAAAGAATGGCATTGTTAATTTTGGTAATGTATATTATTGATTTCCTTGTTAATGATCTGATAAATTCGTTTTTTATATTATCTGCTCCGGGAGCTTTTGATAGCTTTACATTGTTTGTGA